AAACGCCCCCAAGATGTTAGACAAATCTTCTCGACTTTATTTCGTGAGAAGAGACCGGATGTTACGATGTACAGATATTAGATTATGGTATATTGGCTGATATACTATAATGGCTAAGTCAATAAAAAGTCTTGAACTGCATTATCCAATGATCCAGTTTTTAATAATTAGTAATACTCCATAATAAGTGTAAGTCAGTTAGTAGCACATGAAATGAACAAATTAAAGAGGTAACAAAAGCCCAGTAAAATTGTAAAAATTGATGTAATAACGAAGATGTATTTCACTAATTAGAAATTTCATTGTAAACACTTGCATTTAATAAACGTTTCAAATCACGGCAAAGTTGCCTAAAGTACACCTGGATATCAAACCATAGAACTAATTCTTTTCCCGTCTGAAAACTAATACTTTTTGAGTATTACCATTTACAGGTATTGCTGGATTCAATAACTGAGCGGATTCTATTGCAGCCCTTTGTTTCTATTTGAACTCAGTTCTAATCGGTGTCTTTTTCACTAAGGATGATTGGCATAAATCTCTTTATCCAATTGACAGATTAGTGCTTTTTGAATCTATATTTCTCCTGTTTTCTAATGAAATCTATGATCAGAGTTGGCTCCATTTTCAACTAGAGTTTTCTTTATATGGCTAAGTGCAGTGCTTGAACAATAAAATATTTGTAAGACAAATATTGCTTGTGTCGTGGTTTCTTAATAATGGAGCGCATGATAAATGATTTATGATGCATATACTGAAAACAGGGTCGCCTAAACAATGCCGTCCTCTCGGTTACGGTTTATCTTAGCGAGTCCCTTGTCATTAGGCCTTTGACAACAAGAGTGTAAAAAGCAAAATCATAAAACATATACCTTCGACAGTCCCTTGCCAAGTAACCTTGCATTGCTAGGTTGTTCATTTGTAATTGCCGTATGTCGGGCTTAAAAAATAAAAAGGTTTGTATGTTCCCCTTTCCATTCCTCATCGTTGTTCCCTCTTATCCTTGAGGATCGATTTTGGAAATACGATTAGGGAGACTAGGAAGGGGAAAATCGAAATTTATATTACTTCCTTTATCTAGAAGCAAAAAAGCAACACAAGCACGAGAGATTGGAAATAATTCCACGCATGCGTCTTGATACTCGCGCGTGCTGTTGGCTTCTGCTTCTGCGGGTGCGAGTCCAAATATTTCACACTGAATACAGAACAAATTGACGACCACTGCTTCATGTATTACTGAGTGATGTGAGTCACTGAAGATGGCTGAAAAGTCCAACCCTCTCTTGACTTGAAACAGTCTGTAACAATGTAGACAGGGGGTGTGTCCATAACAAATTATAGCGTGCTTGAATGCAGGGCAAGGTATTGCTCAGGTAAGTTCAGGAAAAAAACGTACTCAATGCAGTGAAGAGTATAAGGTTTTAAAGCAAAAGAAAGTATTTTACACCTACATGTTCATTAGGCTGTGCGCGCCCTAATGCACTCAAATACAAGAGAATGCACTGCCTCAGTACTCGATGCAGGAGATTGTATTGCTGAGTCAAATACACTGATGTACTGTAGCTTGATGCATTTGTTAACCTAGGGGTAGATGACGGTAAAGTAAATACATTGAAAATATCACCCACTTTAGTTCAAAATGTATTGCTCACTAAAATTAAAGAATGATTGGAATGAAAGAAGATTGATTTTATGTTTGCTTCTATAATTTGGACTTGATGTAGTTCCTATTTTAACTATACAAAGCAATGTTTGCTCTGACGAGGGGCTAACGTTGAAACGCCAGCTTCAGAAAATCTTTACGGTCGTTAATTTACATTATCAACTCAGTCGATAAAACCAAATTATCTTCTAATGCCCCCCCACTGAAGCAGCACCACAGCTTTTCTTTTTTTAATTTACCCTCTTTATTCAATTGCGTAGTACAGGTTTATACCAAAACCTGAT